CTGTCCCGTGTCGCCCCCTGCCTGTCCCCTGTAACCACCTGTCCGGTGTCACCTGCTGCCTGGGCAGTGCCACCCTGCTGTTCCGTGCCACCCCCAGCCTTTCCCTACCACCTCCTGTCCGGTGCCACTCCCTGCCTGGCCCGTGTCAACCCCTGCCAGCCCCGTGTCACACACTCTCCAGTGCCACCCACTGCCTCCCYTGTGCCACCTCCTGCCGGTGCCATCCCCTGCTTGTCCCATGTTCCCCTGTGCCACCTTCTGCCCGTTTGGCGCCACATGCGGACACCTCCTGCCTGCCCCGTGCTACCCTGTGCCACTCCTTGCCCTATCCTGCCACCATTCCCTTCCTGCCGGTGCCACCCCCTGCCTGTCCCGTGCCACCTCCTGCCCGATGCCATCCCGTCCGTGTCCTCCTGCTCCCGCGGCTGCCCTAGCATGCCCCACGCCCTGTCCAGGTGTCCAGSGGGACAGCCACCCTGCCCCCAGCACATGGCCAACAAGCGCCGGCCTTCCTGCCTTCCGTGGGGCGATGCTCCCGTCCCCTTCCTCCCGGGGATGTCCCCGGGCAGCGGGGGGCTGTGGGCTCCCCAAAACCGGCGGCAGCAGCCCCGGCTGCCCTCTCCTGCCCAGGACAGCGTGTTATGAACCATGGCACTCACCCTCCTGGCAGACATCAGCACGTTCCCCCGCTCACCGCCCCTCACCAGCGCTCCTACCTGTCCGTGCCACGCTCATCCCTCGTTCCTCTTTGCCCACGCGGTCCCGTGTCCACTGCCCAAGCCCCGGGTGGCTCCAGCTCCTGCTGTGCCCCCCGCCTGTCCCCRCAACAGCGCGGGCTGTGGGGCAGCGGCTCCTGACAAAGGCACTGCGTTACCTCTGCCTGGCGGAGGCTGAATTTCAGCTTCCAACAGACCCCAGCTGGAAGCGCTSGCCTCGGCAGCGCTGTCGGAGCCCGCCGTCTGCAGCGGGGTCTGTCCCTCCCTCCCTCCCTCCTGGCAAGAGGTGGGGAARGGGGACCCGGCTCCTGCGGTTTTGTGCTCGTCTCTGCAGGCCCCCCGTTCCCGGAGCCCGGCAGGGCTGGCACAGGCTCGGTTTGGCTCTCTGCTGTGTCTAAACAGGCTCCTGGCTCTTCTCCTTGCAGAAGAAAACTTCTTACAACCTTCTAAAGCCCCGGAGAAGCAGRAGGCGCGTTGGAAAACGGGAGGTCCTGGGATTTATTATTTTTTACAATCTCATCATTTTGGGCCTGACTCACGGCTTTTGAATGTTTGGGATGGGCAGCCAAGGGGGAAAGTAAGCTTGCTCGGCACAAGCCAGGCAGGAGGGACAGACATCTGTGCGGTGACAAGGCGACAGAGGGGGCCGTCGTCCTGCCTCCAGCTCCTCCAGCTCCTCTCCATCCTCGCCAGGCTCGGGCTGCTCCCGGACCCCGCAGGGCAGGTGGGGCTGCCCCACAGCGGCATCCCCCGCTCGCCAGGATGGCGCAGGAGGCAGCCCCCGTCCTGCTGCTCGTCCTTGCCAGGCTGGTGTCATCCACGTGGCATGAAGGTGAGTGCCGGGCTGTGCGGGCACGGCGGGGCTCCTGGAGGTGGCAGCCTGGGCAGTTCTGCTCCTTTTGAGGGCTTTCGGTGGGCAGGGATGGACGGTGCCCGGGTGCAGCGACACCGGGAGAGCCTGAGGGTATGGGGCGCTTGAGGGGATGGGTGAGCTGTGGGGTGCAGGGAGGAATGGAGGGGGTGCTGGCAGGCACCCAGGGAGGAGCAGAAAAACAGCTTCTTCCTCAGACCCCCGCCCGCGGGAGCGCAGTTCCCGCTGCCTCCCTGCTCCCACGGGRGCCATCGGCCAGCAGATGTTTGCCTGGACGGAGCACACAGTCCAAACCCCTCCATGGCTGGACGATCAGGTCACAGGCTTTGTTTGGGGTGGTTTTCCCCCTCCCTGCTTCCATCCCCTCCCCCTGGCCATGCTGCCAGCACGCCTGGATGGAGATGCTCCTGCCCTGTGCAGCGGGGCTGAGCTGTCCCCAGGTGAGAAGGAAAAGGCAGCGCTTACAATRAAAGGAAACATCACCATTAAATGGCACATCTGCCTGCGGGGACACCGTGCACTCTGTCCCCAGAGCCCCGGCGGGAGTTTCGGCAGCCCCCGGGAAAGAAACTCTGTTCACCAGGTCAGCGATGCATCCCCACTGCCGCCCCCATGGGTACCACCCCTGCTCCTCTGCTYCCCGAGGCATCCACGGCAGCGTCAAAAGGGCTTCAGGATAAATGCATTGTGAAACCAGCGGGCAGCGTGTGGGAAGCGGGGGGAAGCCGCTCCGTAGTAAAGTTCATGTTGGAAAGATCCGTAATGGAGTTTCCTCCCTGTGACGGCGGGGCTGCTGCTCGGATTGGGTCCGGCGGATATCCCCTTCCCAAAAGCACAGCAGGGACAAGGGGAGCAGGACAAGGGCTGCCGCTTCGCCTGGGGTCCCTCCCGAGGCTGAGCATCCCCCCGTGCCCGAGGGGAGCGCGGTGGGCTGGGCTGGGCTGGGCTGGAGGCGAGGAGGGGGCAGCGCTGGCGGGGGCCAGCGGAAACTCGGCGGAAACGTGAGCTCAGTGCTGGGGAATGCCGCGGCCGGCCGAGGGGCCACGGGGAAGGACGGCAGCCCTCATCCTTCCCCACCGGCGAGTACCTTGCGATGGAGGCACGCTGCGGGCCAGAGGGCGGCCCACAAGGACGGAGCAAAGCTCGCCCCATCCGTGGGGCCCCTCTGCGCAGCGCGCGTGGCGTGGGGCCAGCATCTCCGGCTAAAACCCCTGCAGCAGATTCATCCTTCCCTGGAGTGCAGGCACGGGGCTGCATCCCCCCGGCCGGGGCTGTTCATCTGCTGCCTTAATGAGGGGTGGGCAGGAAAGGACAGCTTTCCTCCTTGCCTGGGGAAGGCCCGGGGGCAGGGACGGTGCCACGGGAGCGGGTGGAAGGATTTCCCGGCAGCACGAAGCTGGGGGTCGGCGCCAGCCCGCTCTGTGCCAGCGCCCGTTTCCTGCCGCAGCCACGGCTGCTYCTGCCGCTGTTTAGTCTGCGGCCGRTGCCAGCACACCCCACATCCCTGGGGACCGGGCTCGCGGTCTGCTCGGCTCCCCCTTGGCGGCAGCCCCAAGGACTCAGGACAGGCTCTGCCCAGCCGAGGGATCGCTTCTTGCGAGTTGCAGGAGATTTTGCGGCTWCCCTGCAGCCCGCTTGGCTCTTCCGTGCTCCGCAGGGTCTGGCTACTACCTGGAGAGTCACACCAACGAGGTGTACGCAGAAGAACCGCCCCCCGAGCCTGCCCTGGATTACCGTCGAGGTAACAGCACMCAACCCATCCTTTGAGTCCTCATGGGGAAACCGAGGCACGGCGGGCGCCTCCCTCACCTCGCTGCCCTCCCGCAGTGCCCCAGTGGTGCGCCACGCTCAACATCCACCGCGGAGAGGCCACTTGCTACTCCCCCCGGGGCAGCTCGTACCGCAGCAGCCTGGGGACACGCTGCGAGCTGAGCTGCACCCGTGGGTACCGCCTGGTGGGTCCCAGCGCTGTCCAGTGCCTGCCCAGCCGCCACTGGTCCGGGATGGCATACTGCCGCCGTGAGTGTCCCTGCCAGTGTCCCTGCCAGCATCCCCGCAGGCACGCTCCTGGCCGCTCCTGGCTGCTCTGCCCACTCGCATGGCCGGAGCCGCTTCCCTCCCCGCTTCGCTCTCTCCATCCCAGAAATCCGGTGCCACGTGCTGCCGGCGGTGCTGCGGGGCTCCTACGTGTGCTCGGCGGGCRTGCAGATGGATTCGCGCTGTGACTACACCTGCCAGCCCGGCTACCAGCTGGAGGGAGACCGGAGCCGCATCTGCATGGARGACGGGCGCTGGAGCGGCAGCGAGCCGATCTGTGTAGGTAAATTCTCACCCACGYTGCCGGGGCACGCAGGGGCTGATCACCGTCCACTCCTGCCGTGTTCGCAGGGGTCACCTCACATCCAGCGCGGTCCCTTCCGACACCTCCCTCCCTCCCTCGGGACCCTGTCCCTGCTGCTCCCCATCAGCCCTGAGCACAGGCGCCAGCCCGGGAYGGGGCACTCAGTGCTGGATTTACAGCACGTCCGGAGGGCTCCGAGAGTCCTGGGGTGGTTCAGCACCGGGGCTGGTGCCTCRCTCGAAGCTCAGCCAAGGCATGCACAGGTTCCATGAACCCTTCTCCTCCCTCTGGGCAGATGTGGAGCCTCCCAAGATCCGCTGTCCGGACTCGCGGGAGCGCATAGCAGAGCCAGGCAAGCTGACCGCCACCGTCTACTGGGACCCTCCCCGCGTCAGGGACTCTGCTGACGGTGTCATCAAGAGGTGAGGGCCGAGATGCTGCAGGCACTGCCAGCGAGGGCTGGCGGCCGTGCCGGGCTCCCCTGCCCGGGGGTTGACAGACAAACCCGTCTGTTGGGTGCAGGGTGATGCTGCGGGGCCCAGAGCCCGGCTCYGAATTCCCTGAAGGAGAGCATGTGATCCGCTACACCGCCCACGACCAGGCTTACAACCGAGCCAGCTGCAAGTTCAGCATCCGCGTCCAAGGTGAGCGGGCTCCYGGGGCCGCCTGCTGCCCCCCGACACCGCCGGCACCGCGCTCCATCATCCCCGGCTCTCACACCGCTCCCTCCGCGCAGTGAGGCGCTGCCCTGTCCTCAAGGCTCCGCAGAACGGGTACATCTCCTGCACCTCCGACGGCAACAACTACGGGGCCACYTGCGAGTACCTGTGCGACGGGGGCTACGAGCGCCAGGGCACCTCGCTGCGCGTCTGCCAGTCCACCCAGCAGTGGACGGGCTCCCAGCCCCTCTGCACGCGTAAGTGGGGCAGGAGATCCCCAGCGCCTCGGGGGATGCTGCCTGCTGGTCAAAGGGGTGACGGGGAGCACGATGGCACCTCCCCGCACACGTGTCTCTTGCCCCAGCCATGCAGATCAACACAGATGTGAACTCGGCYGCCAGCCTGCTGGATCAGTTCCACGAGAAACGCCGCCTCTTGGTCATCTCGGCMCCCGACCCCTCGAACCGCTACTACAAGATGCAGATCTCCATGCTGCAGGTGAGGAGACCTTCCTGCTGCCCCTCTCCCCACCTCCACACCCAGCACCCCCTCACCATCCCCTCCTCCCCAGCAAGCTGCCTGCGGGCTGGACCTGCGCCATGTCACCACGGTGGAGCTGGTAGGGCAGCCCCCACATGAGGTGGGACGCATCCGGGAGCACCGGCTGTCCCTTGGCATCATCGAGGAGCTCAGGTAGGGGAGATGGGGGCTGTCCTGCAGAGCGAGGGGACAGGGAATGGGAATGCTTCCAGGAACGGCAAAGCATGAGGCTGCAGTTGGGTTCAGCCCCTTTTTGCTGCACCAGAGAGGCTTGTGCRATGGGGAAYATCCCTGCSAGTCYGAATGCATGTCACCAGAGCTTCCCSCRGCTCACAGCCCCGGGGAASTGSRAGCCCCCGCTCCAGGAGGGCCTGAGCGTGGTTTCAAGAGGAGGGCAGGCTCAGACCTCAGTGCAAACCCCCAGCCCTGAGCAGCGGCCCCCCTTGCACCTGCAGGCGATTCCTGCACCTCACACGCTCGCACTTCAACGCGGTGCTGCTGGACAAGGCGGGCGCTGACCGTGAGCGCTACATCTCCCCGGTGAGCCCGGACGAGCTGTTCGTGTTCATCGACACGTACCTGCTGAGCGAGCGAGAGGCGGCGCGGCGGGCACAGAGCGGGGACCCCTGCGAGTGAGCCACGCCGGGGACACCCCTCCCTGCCCTCAGGGACAGACACCTCCTTTCTGCTTTTCTAGTCGCCCACTGTAGAGGAGGAGCAGGGTGCCAAGGGCTGCGGGGAAGGGGAGCCCCTCTCTGGCTGTTCTGGCACACAGAGGTGAGYGGGGACTGTGCCAGCAGTGTCCCACTGCCCAGCAGCCAGGAGYTGTCTCCAGCCGGGGGATGGCTCAGCCCAGCCGGGACCATGGCAGGAGATGCTGGAGAGCCCCTGCTCAGATCCCGGGGCAGAGTGGGCAGATGGAGCCAGAGGAGATGGGCAGGCACGGAGGGCAGGCAGGCCAGCAGGGCATCAGCCTCTGACACAGCAGCTTCAGCCWCCCCAGTGCACAGCCTGACCCGATCCCTCCCACCCTGAACTCCCCTATTAACAGCAGAGCCCACAGCAGCAGCCAGCCTGCAGCCCACCCCAAAGGGTTTGCCCCCTCCCCGCCACTCACACCCTCTCCCAGCACCCACGGGGAACCCTTTATGGGAACTGCTTTGGCAGTAGAGTATTAACTKGAAATAAATAACTTTGTACAAAAATCCAGTGCTTTTGTCACTGACAGGCCTGGGAAACAAATGTTTCCTGGGGTCCACAACACCCAACCCCGCCAGGCTGACCCCACACAGCTCCATCCACCCAGGGCTGTGTGTGGTGACAAGGGTGGAGAGGACAAGGAGGGAGCAGAGGGTGGAACAGASGGTGGTAGGAAAAAGAAYGGGAAGAAATGGAAACACAATGACRTTTCAAAGCATTTTGCCTGCGGGAGAAGGGAGGGTTCACAAGGACTCCAGTTCAGCCTGAAATCTGGTACGAGRCTTATGACAAGAGAAAAACCCTTTAAACCAAGCTAGGCCAAGAAGACTTTCTGCCCAGGCCTGTTTAGAGAAGGTCATGTTTATTAAAGTGTAAGGAAAAACAACAAGCCCCATTTGGCAGCCCTGGCTGTGCCTGGAGCGTGGCTCCCGACAGCRGTGCCAGTCCTGATGCCAGCCTAGGGCCTCAGCTTGGCCATGGTGGGGCGGAGCTGGAGTGTCCCCTCTGCCCAGGAACCCGGGTACTGGCACATCTTCTGCCACAGGTTCAGCTCCTCGCCCGTGGAGTCCATCCAGTCCACAGCCTGCCCGTTGCTCATTCCTGGCAAAAAGGATGGAAAAAATCAGTGCCCAGCACAGCGCTCCAGCAAGGCTGCTGGTGCCCAKCTGGCACCAGGGCTCCTCACCATTGCCCACCCCCAGGCGGACGCCCCCGAGGAAGTCGTTGCTGGACAGTGGCTCCCGGTCCCACACGGTCAGCTCCAGGCAGATGTGCTGCAGCTCCTCGGGGTTGATGCCATTGTAGACAAAGGTGTGGTTGTAATGGGGGTTCAGGGTCTTCTTCACCACGGGCGTCTTCCTCTTGGAGGCTTTGTTTTTGTGCGGCAGGAGGTAGCTGGGGGAAGCAGCCTTGGGTCAGCAGCATGCAGCCTGCTGCTCGGGGGGCTGGGGCACCCCAGAACCTGCCCTGGATCCCCCTTCCTGCCCCTCCTGGCATAGCTCAGGGACAAGGACCATGCCATCCTGCAAGGAGCCCTCCTCCAGCTCCCCATGGCAGCTTTGGGCACACAGCCAGGGAGGACAGTGCCTTCATCACCCCCCGACCCAGGACCCTCACTCACCCCTTGACAAAGCTGTCCGAGGTCCCCCCRGACTTGGCAGCTGTGAGGTTCTTGGCTTCTTTGATCCAGACCTGGAGCTCACCACCTTCCCCTGCTTTGCCTAGGAAAAACCCACCACAGTAATTAATCAAATTTAATTTCCACCATTGCAAACTTCTGGAAGTTCCTGCTGAACACCAAGAGGCAAGTGCAGAGCCAAGCTGGCATCTTCTTTGCCTTCTCCTGTACTGGCCCTGCCTGCTGAGGGAAAGGCAGACAAAATTACCTCATGAAGGGCCCAATGGTGCAGCCTGGCCCAGCCCCAGGGAACACTGGGATGAACAGGCAGGTCTGCCCTGACCCAGAGCAGCTTTGTGGGCATTGCAGAGGAGAAGGCTGCAGTGCCACCACCCAAGAACCCCATCCAGAGCCACCCTGTGTGGCCACGAGCAGGTCCTGCAAGGCTACTATTGGTTGTGGAGCTGCAGCACTTACCTTTCCTGCCACTGCCAGCCCCGGGATGCTTGGCAGACGGGATGTACTTCATGGACACAACCAGCTCCCCCTTGTAGTGCTGGAGASCAGCAGCATCTGCCCCAATCTGCAGAGAGGTGACACCAAGCACTGCAGAGAGGCCATGGCACACACAGTGACAGCTCTGGTGGGCACACACCTCCCCAGGCTGGCACAAAGCACTTGGCCTCTCCGAGATGTGACTGAGCTGGCACAAGTGCCTGGGAACTGTCCCCAGCCTGGCCAGTGCAGCCCAGCTCCTTTGGGATCTCATTTGGGCTCAATCACTTGACAACAGGAGGGAAGCTAGGCTCAAGGCAGAAGATCTGCCCTTTTTTTAATACAACAGCATTGCCATCTCCATCTGGGGTTTCCATATCCCAAGGATCTGCTCTGGCACGAGCCTTTTGGCCATGCTAGCCAAGGTCTGCAGACCCCTCTGCCCACGGAGGGCCGTGCCCACAACAGGACCAGGCACGGGAGGGCCTGGCAAGCACACACCTTGCCATGCAGGGGCAGGAACTCCTCCAGGTGGCTCTCGAAGTTCCAGGCATCCAGCGGCACCTCCACCTCCCCCAGGAACGTGTTGCGGCCGAAGCGGTCGTGGTGCCACACCGAGAACTGCAGCGTCCTGGCCAGCAGCAGGGACCTGCTGATCTCATACTGGGCACAGAGAGGACAGCACGGGTSAGAGGGCAGCACAGGGCAGGGACAGGCTTGGCAAACAGCTCTTGAGGATGAGGAGACAGCTTTGAGGAGCAATGGGTGCACACTGGAGCCTGTTTCTTTCTTTCCCTGCCTGCTGAAGCTCACAATGCTGGGGCAGTGGTGCAGGAGCCCGTGCTCTCCCAGCAGATGCTCCTCAGAGCCAGGAGCCATGGCAGCCAGCCATCCCAGCACAGGCACAGCTCTGCCAGCCCACCGAGCCTCAGGTGGGCAGGGCACCAGACCTCAGCAAACCTGGCTGTGGGAGCCTAAAAACCAAACTACAGCTCTCACTTCCTCCTGTGCAAGAGTGCCTGGCCCCAGAGGTGTGCTGCCAGGCTCAGGGATGGAGTCAGGCACTCCCACAGCCATGGGGGCAGCAGCAAGAATCATGGAGGGCACTGCCAAGCTGTTCTACCCTGGGGCCCAGAACTGTCTGATCTGTGCCCCTGTGCTGCCCTCCCTCCTGCTGCTGCCTCCAGGGACCCGGCGGCCTTCATGGAGGGAAATATCCAGGGTAAGCAGGATGCCCCTGCTCTGGGGAGTGCCACAGGAACCAGGGACATGTCCTRTGATGTGCTCACATGGGCAGCTGTGCCTGCATCCCACCTGGGGTGGCACTGGGGCCTCAAGCACAGCCAGAGCAGAGCTGGGAGTGGGTTGTTGCAGCTTTCAGGGTGCAAACTCTGGACATGGGTTAGGAGCTCACCCCTCCCYTTGCTTGTTCCAGCAGCATCCCCAGGACTGAGCACCTGCAGCGCAGCCCCTCCCCACCCACCTTGAGCAGCTCGTTGTACACGGGGTTGATGGTGTTGCGTTTGATGGTSGTCTTGCGCTTGCCTTGCCGGGATTTGTCGGGCAGGAGGTAGGTCTTGACGTACCTGAAGGGAGGAACAGGCAGCACTTCAGCAAGGTCCCCCCACAACTGATCCCCCGTGCTCCCCAGGGCAGCCCCAAACCTTCTGCCTCACCAGGACCCTCCCATGTCTGGTGGGCACCCCACAACCCCGCTGGGCACCGCCAGCAGTGCCAGCAGCCATCGCCCCCCGGCTCTCACGGGTTGGAGCGCTTCCTGCCCTCGTCCCCAAAYGCCAGCTGCCGACACTCCTTCACGTGAATGAACAAGGTCTGCGTCCTCTGCTCGTAGCTCAGGGAGAAGGAGATGCCCCCGGTGACAGCCACGCTGCCAAAGTCCCCGGCCTCGCTGTAGATGCTGACCATGCTCCCCAGCGTGCTCTGCAAGACATGGCAGCGCTGAGCTGGCACAGGATCACCCGACAGTCCCTCTTCATCCTCAGCAAGGAGGGGTCACCCTCTTCATCCTCAGCAAGGAGGGATCACCCTCTTCATCCTCAGCAAGGAGGGATCACCCTCTTCATCCTCAGCAAGGAGAGATCACCCTCTTCATCCTCAGCAAGCAGGGATCACCCTCTTCATCCTCAGCAAGGCTGCTCCCCGTGCCTCTTCTGCACAGCCCCACTCACCTGCCCATGGCTGGGGAAAGCCCCGAGTGCCTCCCACCCACACACAGGCTCCCTGGCAGGGAGCTGAGTCTCTGCATTTTGATTTCCTTTAAGGGGAAGGAGTCCCCACACACAAAGCTCTCTTCCCTTCCCTCCAGGAGCTGCCTTTCCTGCCTCCCTCCCACCCAGCCGATGGCACTGCCCTTCTCCATCCCAGAGCCAGGGCTCACCGAGGAGGTGCCGCTGCGCATGCTGCCCCGGGCCACACGCTGCCGATGGATCTCCACCAGGTTATCGATGTCCTCCTCCTCCTCCTCCTGCCAGGACAGTGACAAGGTGTCAGAGCACAGACAGACAGACAGCTGGCTCCTCCGGCTGCAGCCATCACCCTGGCACTCGCAGGGTCTCACCAGCTCCGTGTTGAGGCCAGGCACTGACTTGCTCCTGTCCCCCAAAGAGCCGCCTTCCCCCACAAGGTCCTCGGGGCGCAGGTCGATCACTGACTTGGTGTAGTCTGCACGAGAGGGGGTGAGCAGGGGCAGTGGCACGGGGCAGGACCAGCACAGCCCTGCTGCTCCCTCGCACAAGGGGCTGTCCCAGCCTCTGGATCTGCACCAAAGCCCAGCACAGCCCCAGGAGGAGCACCTGCCCACCCCGGCCGTGTCAGCACCCAAACCCACAGCACCCACACAGCTCTCACCCGCCGGCCTCACCACCCGCCGGGGGTTCTTCTTGAATATCGTTTCATTCTCGTTCTCCAAGGTGCTGCTGCGGGTCCCCACGGTGACATCCTGGGGAGGAAGAGTCYCTTCAGAGCAGGGCAGGGCTGAGCACCCCACAGAGCTCCCAGCCCCACRCCCCAGGACAGGGCTGAGCCTGCTGGAGCAGCGTCACGCACCCGTCCGTCRGAGAACACGTTTTTGGAGCGCAGAGGGAGGGTCAGGCTGGAGGAAGCAGGTCCTGCTGGCACAGCAACCTGTTTTCCAGGGATGGCTCTCTCCAGGGAGTTCCTCCTGTGGCGGACACAGAAAGGTCTGTCCAGGCCACAAGCACAGCTGGCACAGCAAGTGCTGGCCGGGAAGTGTCACTTGAGCTGCCTTGTGGCCCTGTGGGARCAGAGGACCTGCCTGCCCAGGGACAGGCTTCAGCCCAGCCCAAGAGCCAGCTTTCCCTCCCTAGACTGAGAAAAACACACTTCAGATGAAGGTTCTCATCCTGTGCCAGCCAGCCTTGCCAAGGAYAGCCCATCCCAGGAGCCTCTCACCTGCCCCCCACGTCAGCAGATCTGTAGCCATCCAGGCTCATGTTTTCCATGGATTCTGTGTCGCTTTTSCCATCCCGAGGGTCTGAGGCTTCTGGGAACGAACTGCAGACAAGCAAAACCACAGGTATGTCCTGTTTGGCGAGGAGGTCAGTCTGAGAGAGCTTCTGCGCCACCAGTGATCCGTGCAGGGCGGCAGCAGCCCTCTCARACCTGCAGCAGATGAGAGCTGGAGCACGGGGACAGCAGGGACTCTAACCTGGATCCCTCCCGGGGTGCAGGGGGGCTCGGCTGCCGGCCTGCAGAGGAGCTTTTGGGCTCGCTGAGCTGGGCTTTCTGCAGGAGGGTTTGTCCCACAGTTTCTCTTTTGCTGGCTGGAAGGAGAGAGGCATCAGGAGGAACAGTGCTCCCAGCTCATTGCCTGGAGCAGGAGCTGCTCCCATCCAGCTCCACCCTGGGCAGAGGGGCACTGGGCAAAGCTGGAGCATCCCAGAGGGCTGGGCTGCAGGAAAAGGCATCCCTGTGGCACCCCTACCTGCTGGCCTGTGCCGCAGGGACAGCCGCACCATGTCACTGCCCAGGTGGTTGGCAAAGCGGTTCACCCTCTGGTCATAGAACCAGTCGCCTGTTGTCTTCTTCAGCTCCCTGCAGGCCAGAGGGGTGGTGGAGGCAGTCAGGGCAGTGGGAGCTGCTCCCTCTGTCCCAACCCACCCTCAGTGCTGCCACAACCCAAGGAGAACACAGGCATAGCGGGCATGATCAGCAGGTGACTGGGCAGAGACAAGTCACCGGGCAGTGGACAGGCTCAGCTACATCCCCAGCAAACACGGGAGCAAGACAAGTTTTGTAGGACAGGGGAGGCCAAAAGGAGGAAATCCAGGGTGCTTGAAACACAGGCTGTGCGAGGGGCACAGGGGGATGCTGCAGTCAGTAGCGGGGTGAAGGAGCAGGGTGGACATGAAGGAGACACAAGAGTGAGGTATGACCCATTTTTCCATCACCCAAACATGGGAATCCTCTCCCGGAGTGACAGCAGAGCAAGCTGCCCTGCACCGGAGAGGACCGGCCAGGCCAGGAAAGGGGGGCATCAAGCTGAGGCAACTAACAAGAGGAAGGGGACAGGAGGCACGTACAGAAAGGTGCCTGCCACTTGTCTCTGGGTACTCACGCCTCCTTGGTGCAGACTTTGCAGCGCCAGGAGCCGCCGGGGCTGTAGGAACGGCAGTCCCGACACACCAAGTGGTTGCAGCCCCGGCAAGTGTTGGCCTTGGGGCTGACGCGGCCCAGGCTCTGCTGGCAGCGGGCACAGGTCCGCTCGCTGTAGCGCTGGCTGCCCCGCTTGGCTCCCTTGCGCCGGATCTCCAGCAGCTCATTCTTCAGGCGCCTGCTCAGACCCGACACAGGAGCTGTCAGAGCCGCTCCGGGACCCCGGGGGACCCCCGTCACCACCCTCTCCCTCATCCACCCGCTCCCCGAACCAGCTCCTGCGCAGCCCCAGCCACCTCCGCACCTGATCCTCCTCTCCTCTGCTTTGCGGAGCTCCTCGTCGCGCTGCAGGACCTGCAGGATCAAATCTCTCTCCACGTCCGACAGAAAGGACAGATCCACAGCCTCCGACATCGCTCCAGCCGGGATCGCTGRCCCTACCAGATGTGGCCAGATGTGTCCGTGCCAGGGACATGCCAGCTGTTGAGCCGGTGTCCCGCTCCGCGAGGTGTCCCGTGCCCCTTCCCGGGACKCGGCACCCAGCACACCGGCCCGCCGCCGCCTGCACCGCCCTGCCCCGGGCTGGGCTCGGGCCGCCTGCCAGCCCCGCCGCCCCGGTGACCTCAGCCGGCTCCGTGGGACCGGGCTGACGCCCAGCTCCGGCGGGCAGCCCGGCAGGAAGGGAAGGAGCCGCCCCGGGCTGCGCCTCCCACGAACGCACCGGGGCTCGGAGCTGCCCGAGCCGCGGAGCCGCCGGGAGCGGACGCGCACAGGACCCGGCACGGACAGGATCCGGCTCGGAGAGGCGGCCCCGGCAGCCGGGCGGTCACTGCAGCCTCGACGGAGCCGGAGCGGCTGTTCGGGGGCTGCAGCCGCTCCCCGATCCCCGATCCCCGATCCCCGATCCCCGCCCGGCTCGGCGGAACCGGCGGGACGGACCCCAGACCCCTCTCTGTCGGGGAAAGGGGGATCGCTGTCAGCGCGGCCACCGGGGCTGGGACCTGCCCCGCCCCGGGACACCGCGGCTCGACCCCCCGAGCACGGAGGGACCCCCGGCTCCCCCCAACTCCCCACCAGCCGAGGGATCCCCGTCCCCACGGAACCGTCGGTACCCCCGGCGGCGGAGCGAGCCCCGGTGCCGCGATCGTCCCGGTACCTGCGGCGGCTCCGGCCGGCGCCTCCCGGCAGCGGCGGGGCCCGGGAATGGGAGGGCGGTGCCGCCGCCTTAAAGGAGCCGTGCCCGCCGCACCTGCGGCCCGACGGCGCGGCCCGTGGGGAGGCGGTGCSCGCTCCCTCCAGCCCCTTCCCCCGGCCGTGTCCCCGCTGGAGCTGCGGGTCCCGGTGCCCCACTGCCCTGACCGGGTGTGCAGCGTCTCCCGACCAGCACAGAGCCCACAACCACCCCAACTGCGGGGCACCCGCCCGGGATCCCCAAGGAGGAGGACGCAGCCCCAGGGTCCTCCCGCCGCAAGGCTCCAGCCCTTGCCCTTGTCCTGTGCAGCAGTGACACGGACCCCGCAGCAGCACAGGCTGCAGGGGACCCCTGAGAACACGGGTGGACGAGGAGAGGGGCTCCACCAGTGGGGAGGAGGGTTCGGGCACGCAGGACGGCGGGGAGGCCACCGCCCCGAGGCAAATGAGAGGACGCGGCTCTGCCCACACTTTCGGCCGCACCCCAGGGACGGGACAGGCAGAGGCTCCCAGCCCTGGAGGAAGAGAGGGGACACTGACACAGTRGAAAAAAACACGGAGACATCAAAGGGCCAGCGTGAGCGCCTTCACAGCGCAGGGGTTCACTCCATCGGGTGTACACACACGTTCTTGGAGGGCGTTGGGCTTGCAGCCAGACGATGCCAGCGAAGGTTCTGCTCCCTGAGCCCCTCCACACACCAYCCTTGGACCTAAAGTCCCCAGGCCTGACCCCCATGCTTGCACCAGTGTTCATGTTTTAACTGGAAGCCGACAAGAGGCAGTGAGAAACACCCTTATTTATGAAAAAAACACAAAGAAACCGAGATGAACAGACTTGTTCCAGTACAAYAAAAAAGCACAGTGGTAATTACAAAGCTTGTCCCCGAACTGTTGAAATGAACCCGGCAGGAACCCAGGGCTTCTCAGCCCTGTGGCTCTCTCCTGTGCAAAAATGGGGCTGAAAATGCTACCACATGTCCAGTATCTGTGCAGTGACTGGCAGAACCAGGGCAGAACACTGGCACTCTGAGTCCCAGCTCACTCCATCCTTGTCTGGATCCTGGAGGGATCTGCCACGGGAGCACAGCCCTGGGTGTCTGGGCACAGCGAGGCACTGCTGTGGAGTGCTGCTGCCTGGCACGTAGGGGACATAAGGCACATCCAGGCGGGCAGAACACTGCAGAAGCATCTCTCTGTCCCTGGATATCACCCTTCCACAGGAGCTGGAGCCCCAGCGGTGCCCATGCCCTGCTAAACAGGCAGTGCTGGCCGGCACTCGAGGTCCAGCACGAGGTGATGCACGTGTGGCGCGTAGGATTTCACAGCCTCGATGTGCAGGATGCTGGTGTGCCACGGCCKCCCGTGCAGCTCTGCCAGCAGCGCCCGGATCCGTGCAGCCGTGCCTTCAGCCCATCTCTGCCACTCGGGTCTGAGCCTGGCCCCCAGCACCTCCTTCCCCGTGTCCTCCGTTGGGTGCTGCATCTCTCCCGCAGAGCCGGCTGCCCCTGGAGACCCCCCCTCAGCCGGCAGGAGCGGGACCCGCGCCGGGGGAGTCTCCACGTTGTGATGGATGTGGAGAACCCCGCCCGTGTCCTTCTTCAGCACGCGGCAGGCCACGGGCCAGCCTTCCTCCGAGCTGGGAATGAGCCCCAGGTTCACCCTGTCCGCCACATCCCGCAGCTCCAGCTGCGAGGAGAGAGSGGTGAGGGGCTGCCAGGGGGAGGGGGCGCTGGGGCCAGGGGCAGCACTCACCTGCCGGTTGTCCCCGGCGTGGATGTGACAGCGATCCCGCAYCCCGTTCAGCAGCAGCGTCCTGTGCAGGGCCTCCAGGGCATGGCTGTTCCACTCACAGGCATGCACAAAGGCGGCTCCCCCGTGCACCAGGAATGGCAGMGTGAAATAGCCGATGCCTGCGGGCAGCAGGTGGCAATGGCTGAGGGCAGGGACAGCCAGAGAGCCACACTCGTCCCTGAAGGCAGGGCAGGATCACATTGCCACCCTGGCTCTCCAAGTCTGCTTTGCTCTAGGTTGGAACAAACCCAAACACTGGAAAAATGGAAATTTATCCTTCCTCTGCAGAAGTGAAATCTATCCTGAAAAATGTTTAGAGGATCTTATTTTACCATCAGTCTTTGGCCATCAGATTGAGACCAGCCCTGCTCCACAGAAGTGTCCAGATTACCATTTGATTCCTTTAACCCACAGCAATTTTGTGGGTGCCACATCCTTTCAGTGCAGCACAAATTGGAAGCACTAACTTCCTCAAGCACAGTGATAAATCTTGCCCCTGGATCCACTGTGATTCCCCAGACCAGCACCAGGTACAGAGCACGGCTCTGCAGAGCCTGAGTGCAAGGACATCCTAATGTCCAAAGGGTACAGGAGGGACAGCAGAAGGGCTCACAGTCACAACAGCAGCTCTAAGCCTGAGTATTTTTAATTTAGTATTTTTCATTCCAGGCTGGAAATGACATTTCACGTCTACCCTGATGCCATCAGCACCTGCACCGCTGCTCTCTGCCCGCCCATCCTGCCCAACCCTCCCCCGTCCCTGTTACCTGCGTAGAGATCCACCAGCACCTCCCCGGAGCAGGGCAGTGAGGCCACCCGCAGCTTCTCTGTGATGTTTCCCGGGGAGAACATGCACTTGGTCACATCAAAGGTGTACCTGGAGGAGCCCGAGACAGTGAGGGCAGCCCCTTCCCCACACCAACCACGTCCTACAGCTCCTGCCTACCTGATGCCATTGTCCACGTGCTCCACCCAGCCGTCCTGGCCCAGCAGCAGGGTGACACTGGGGCTCCGCAGCCCACCTGGCATCACCCGTCCTCTCCTGGCCACCCGCCGGGCACCCAACGCCGAGGCGACCGTCTCCCAGAGCGCCGGGCCTGCAAGGGAGCCATGCCAGGAGACATCACGTGTGAAATGTGGGCAGCTCCAGGGGCACACCCTGCTGTCCCTTACCCAGCCCCTAAAGATGTGTGAAATGTGGGCAGCTCCAGGGGCACACCCTGCTGTCCCTTACCCAGCCTCTCCAGATGTGTGAAATGTGGGCAGCTCCGGGGGCAGGAGCGGGGCGGGCACACCGGGCTGTCCCTTACCCAGCCTCTAAAGATGTGTGAAATGTGGGCAGCTCCAGGGGTGGGAACAGGGCAGGCACACCCTGCTGTCCCTTACCCAGCCTCTAAAGATGTGTGAAATTGGGCAGCTCCAGGGGCAGGCACACCCCGCTGTCCCTTACCCAGCCTCTGGAGATGTGTGAAATGTGGGCAGGAGCGGGGCAGGCACACCGGGCTGTCCCTTACCCAGCCTCTGGAGATGTGTGAAATTGGGCAGCTCCAGGAACAGGGCAGGCACACCCCGCTGTCCCTTACCCAGCCTCTCCCAGGGTGCAGCCCTGAAGCTGTCCTCGCTCAGCAGGACCAGGTCCCCGTGCCTCTGCCAGCTGTGGGGCACATCCCGCTCCAGCTGCTCGGACCAGCTCCCCCGGAGCAGCAGCCGCAGCTCATCCCGCAGCCTCTGGGCAGGGCTGCGCCGGCGGGCRGCCCTGGAGGGGACAGGATCCTGCAGGAGGGATCAGAGACGTGGGGCTGAGAGCCACCGTGCCACAAAGGACTCAGAGCCCACCGTGCCCCATGAGCCCACCGTGCCACACAGGACTGAGAGCCCACCACCCACGCAGGGCTCAGGGCACTCAGCTCTCCCCACCTGGATGTGGAGCAGCTCCCAGGGCATCTCCGGGCTCAGGCACATTTGGAAGAGTTTCTCCTCCAGCACAGGCAGGGCCACACGTCCCCCTGGCAGCTGCTGCAGCTGGTAGCGCCCATCCAAGAGCTGCTCCTCTTCCAGACGTTCCCTGCGAGGCCAAGGCACGGTCAGACCCTTCCCC